AAAAATTATATGTACAGTTTGTCCCGAAAATATGTATACACATTATAATACGGAATATTAATCTTGTGTACACAACTTTTTGGGACAGTGTGTATATTACATGTATGTATTTATTTAAATAGGCTGTTCTTTCGTTACATAAGCTCAGTATTAAACACCTGAGTACGTGCTCAGTTGTGTTGAAACATCTTATTGCTTGCAGTACAAATGACCAAACTCACGTCTGCACCGAACCTAGTTTTTGTGACTTGTCAATAAGCACGCGTCATTCTGGCCTTGTTATTGATGAACACACAGGGTTCAGGCACATTAGCAATAATCTGTGTTCCAGAAACTTCTGATAAACGTTTAGCAAAGATGCGAGAGGTCATATTGTCTTTTGTCATTGCCACGTGCAAATTCTTAAATTTATATTAACGAAGTTCAGTCAGAACGAGTTACTATCGGATTTAGAATTTTTTTACAACACAGAAAACTGAATACACTCATATTTAACATACTTCAAATATGTTGCAATATGTGATCGTGACGTAGATGGGCAGCTGGACGCTGGTTTCTCAAAGCAGAGACCCCGGTTCAATCCCGAGTGACTTTAAGTGTGGCCCTGGAGTGGGGTTTTCCTGCTAGTTTTTAGAATTTTCTGATGCTAATTCAGCATCTACATTACCCCATACTTATTTATCACTGTCCCGCCAGGTGGACGTTAGCCCTGACCAAGCAGCACATTATCACATAAGTGGTCTTAAGTTACGGACTAGTAAAGGCATTTTGTGTTGTTTTAAATAAGTATTGAATTGGTATCAAAATGTTCATACACTTTGAGATACATTATAAATAGGGAATCTCTTGATTAGATGGATAACGACCGACCTGTACCATGGAGTAGGTTTGTCTGTCTTTGTGTTAGTGAGCTGAAAGTGATATTATATAGAGTAATGTAGAATCCTTGTATGTATTTTAATATTGTGAGTGATTTTAATTGGTGCTCTGACTTCGTATAATTAAATAGTTTATAAGTCGCTGTATAAAAAGTAGCAGGGTTTGTCGATGGTAATCTTATTGTGAGGCCTCGTAGGTGGTTACCAAAGTTTTGAAGGAAAATCCTACTCCGTTTTCAGGGTAGATATTAAATATATACTCAGTATGATCCTTCGAAATATTTGTAACCACCTACAAGCTTACTTGGCGTAATAAGCCAGAAGACCCAATCTGTTTTTATGACCGAGAGTATATAACATCTCAGCAAGGATTTGGTGTCAGAATTAAATAACCCAGCAAGAATTCTGGATTTGAGAACTGAGATACCGAATATATGACTAGCATCATCACGTCTTAAACATGACGACAAAGATAGTTCACAAATCGAGAATCAAAGATGTAGGACGTTGTAATTGTTGTTAGCTAAGGTTATTTTTACTCGGTCATTAAATTCTAGGGCGTTAGAGTACCATATCAATGTTTTGTGTGATTCGAAACAAGTGAGATAAAGGATTAATGTTGAAAATTACTTTCTTTCTTTGGGAAAGCACCCCTGTTGTAATTTATTTTTGTAATAAACTTACGTCAGTAACATTTTTGGACATTGTTGCTATAATTTATTATATTATTGTATATGTTATAGATTAATGTATAATTTGATGGAATGTTTTATGCTTTTGTTCCACAGTTCGTTGTATGTCCAAATAAAGATGTACTTGCCATATTTATTTTATATTTGTCTTATTTAACGACACTTCAGTTGCTTAGATTTTATAGCGCCGAATGGGAAGAATGATAAGTGATTAATGAATTGGAAATGACGTGGAAGGAAGCGGCTGTGGCTTATTTGAGGCCCTGTCCCTGAGGTTACCTCGAGGGACGGAAGAAGATCACAAAAAATACTTCAGTCAGGATTACTTGTGTCAGGGGTAAGATCTGAACCCAGGATTTTCCGAATACATGACTAGAACCATTTGATCTCGACTTTCGAAGGCGATGGGTGGAATGTGTAGGGATATGTTTTTCTTCCCCACCGCGTCCACATTGGCTCTGTACTTCCCAGGTTCTTATCTTGCGAGTGCCGTAGATTCTTTCCCAGAAAGGCGACTGGAGTGTGAATCTGACCATTTATCTCGTTCTAGTTCGCAGGTTAAGGATACATCGAAGTTTATCTTCGCCCTCCCACTCGCTTGTGCTTCAGTTCAGGAATAAATTTGTTCTAATTTGAACTCAGATGTTAATGCCAATTCACTTAAAATATTTGACTGTGCCCCCGCTTTAGAGATTCCCACGTAGTGCTTGGATTTAGCAGACGTTGACATGAAACCACTGTAGTGACTTTCGTTTGTTTACCATCATATTTCTGCCAATTACGCACTTCGCAAAAATTTGGCTAGCAAACAAGATGAATCACTTTCATATCAATACTGCATATTATGTGCTATTTGGCACTTTCGCTGAATAATAAAAGCAAACTTTGGAACATGAGCTGGAACGTTCCAGGTGTTTCACTTGCTAATAGGGAGCATAATGTAGTGAAGAAACACTAATTTACTTTCTTCGATAGAGTAGTGCCGAGCACAGAGTTCAGTGGCTGTTAACCCTGCTTGAGACCAACTTTAGGCAACTTATCCAAACAAATTTGTAACGTAGTTTGTGCAAGCAACTATTTTCGGGGGTGCACATGCTATTTTTGTGTAACACTAAGCATTTCGTCTTTGAATTATAATAATTGTTGTAAACGGGATACGACAGCGGAAATAAATCACAAGTAATGTAACTGCTATAGCGACTGACCTCATACAATATAGCCCAAAGGTGTACCAGCGCGAATTTCAATTTCCACTCTACACATTGTTCAAAGTTATTTACGTATAGAGTTAACACCCTTACTGTTCATTTAAATGATATCAATTTTAATATTATTCTCTCTTATGTCTTCCAAGTGTAAGTATTTTTTGCCCTCTTCCCGGGCTACCTGTCATAATTTTACGACTCGAAAAACGAGCACATGTTATTGATCTGTGTGTCTTCCAAATATACCTTCAAGCATCTTATTCTAAAGCAGTTTCACTTTGTCTTCTTCAGAAAAGATGGTCCACGTTTCATGATCATATAAGACGAGTAGGAAAATGTTATGCCATATTATTATATCCGTAACAGTTTCGAGTGTGTGATAAAAACACTAGCAATATTTAAAACTGTGTGATATCACCGAGACTCTTGGGGGAGGTGTGGATCAAATGACAGCAGTTTTCGGTGCCACACAGCGAGAAGATGCCTTGCTCAGCACAGTTCAGCCAACGTAACCGATATGAATGTTTGACACAAGACCTTTTGAATATATAGCAGCGTACCTGTTACTTAAGCGAGATAAATAATGCAATAATAATAATAATAATAATAATCTATCCGCAAGGAGTCCTATTACACGTCTGAATGATTTAAAATTTGAGAACTGTATAGGTCGTAGGGGCTAATACGTAAAAAACTGAAAGCGAGGAATAATGGTAGCGGTGGTGATATCTATGATGATGATGATGATGATGATGATGAAAACGGCGATCAAGAGCGTCTAAAAACATATTTACTTACAGCATTGTAAACTGAGTAGACAAAACTGCGTATACATTTTTCACGTAAGCAATGAATACGTCTGTCTGAACAGCACTGCAGTGAATGTAACACCCAGACTCGCTGCTCGGACTCCTGGAGGCTCTGTAAGAATGATGATGACATCACAAAAACATGAGTTGGTGAAACCAGTAGGCGTAAATTGATCTAAACATATCGCACCCCAGCTACTACCAACATGTAATTGCAGCAAAGGTTTCTTTGTCACAGAGGAGAAAATAATATTGACTTCATCTTATTAACGATTTTGAGTCTTACTTCCCATCATGGATTTTTGACTTCATGTTATAAATGCACACGTACCTTGATAAGAATCTGTTATTTTATGTGGATCTCTCATATTAAAGGAATATCATAAATTTGGGGTGTTTGGGACCACAGGATAACATTTTGATCTAAGAGATAAAGTGAAAGTAGGCTGGAGAAAATTACATTATAAATAACTTTAAATCTATTATGATAATCGTGTAGTACGCATGTGGACATGAGATGTGCATACAAAGTTGTAATCATAAACCCTCAAAGAAAGAGATCACTCTGGAGACCTACATGTTGATTGGAGGATAATATTCAAACGTGTCTTGAAGAAATAGGGTGTGAAGATATAAACTGGATTCAGCTGGCTCAGAGTATAGTTCATTCTCGCATTTATGAAAATGGTAATGAACGTCCTGGTTGCATAATAGGTGAAGAGTTTCTCGGTCAGCTGAGTGACTGTCAGTTTACCAGGAAGTAGTTTGCTCCATGGAGTTAGTTAAGACACGTGTGTGTTTCAGGTACATGCACCAGCTTATCAGAAGAATGACAGAAGTCGTCAAATTGTCTCGCCTAGTTTCAGAGTTAATATTTGTTCATTCGAAGTCTCTGTTGACAACCCCGAGCCGTTACAGGTGTTAACAACTTTCTTGGCATGTGACAGAAAGCTGATCAGTTTAGTCATCTAACATATGAACGTGCAGTGGTAAAAACCCGACGTTGCGGTTTGATAAAACCATCCTACGATTTAAAATGTAATTCAATGTCAAAATTTTTCGGGTATAAACACTTCAACGTCATTCAGTATTTAGGTTTGTTTCGATAAAAGCGTGATACAAAATGAGGATTAATACGTTCGAACAATTTACGCAATCTTTGAACGAGTTTTCTCGAAAAACAAATGCGTAATATTGAAACTACTTACTGGAAAACACGGCGTTACAGCATGCTGTGACGAATCACTACTCCAGATTATATGAAGAAGGCAAGCTTCCGCTTATGTGGCTAACAATTAGCACTTACTTGATCCAATGTACTTGAAATATGTCTCTTGGATTACGACACGTCGAGGAGGTGTTAATGTGTTACGTAGTACTAATATGAGACGTGGGAACGCTGAGTATAAATACTGGCAGGTACACCAGGTGAGTATCAGAGCTCAGTTTGAAGCTGACTGCATCTTAAAGAAGAAGAGTTACTCCGGTGATAGCTACGAGACCACAATATCCACAAGCAAGACTGCCATTCAGAATTTGCGTTTTCAACCAAAAGCATGGAGAAATACTCGGTAAGTACGTGTTTCAGTCGAAGAAAATTTCTAGAGGTTTACATTTTTCTGAATTACCGAATAAATACTTTGAAAAGAAACATTTTTGTTGGCTGAATGTTAATTTCTTCTCAGATTTTACTGGTTTTAAGACGCGGATTAATTGGACATGTTAAGTCGAAATAGTTGTCTTCTTTGATGCCGCTCTGTTTAGTCTGGCGCATGTAGACCGACGTTTCAGAGGTATTTACTGCATCCACAACTAGGATGAGGTGATGACAGTAAGCCCCTCTGAAATGTCGGTCGATATCTACCAGACAACACGGCACGCAACATCCCAGAAGACTGCAAACTTCATACTCGTCACCTTAAGAACCTGATATCTCATCATATTGTAAGCCACAGCCAATTTTAATTACTGATAGACGACACTTGAGACAATAGTTTAAAAGTTAAAGTTCGTTATTTTCCAGTGATTTAAAATATTCTATAAACCGCACCAGGTGAATAAAAATGTAATATTGGTATAGCTTGAGAGTATTTATGAATCACCTGCTAAAATTTTACAATTTTGTAAAATTCTTATAACAAATCGAAATAATTTCAATTTAAAAAGTTTCGTTTAGTTGAAGTGTTCAGAATGTCACCATGAATGTATGTTTCCAGATATGAATATACTGACGCGGACAGCCGACAAGGGGTGGTGTGCTACAAAATGCCACAAATCTCTTCGGGTCTACGTGGATTCTTCGGCACGTTTGACGTTACTAACAACCTCTTTTGCGTTCCAGGTTTTCGTTGTGTTAATGCTGATCTGTGGCGCTCTCACGATGCCCTCAAGCCGACCAGGCACTGAACAGATGTCCGCGGCGGAGTCTGTACAGAATGTGGCATCTCTGAACAGAGTGACGGGAGAAAGTGTACCCGAAGAAGAGAAAATCGACGTCCTTGTTGAAGTCCTAAGACTCTCTCGTCCTCTGCCATCTGCCAGGAATTACAGATCAATTGCGGCTGTACCCCAGGAAAGCAAAATATCTGCTTCAGACCTAAGAGCCAAGGAAGACTCCGTGTTAGTAGAAGATATACTGGGCGGGAAGAAGGCGGTGGTCATGGTAGAAATTTTCAGAACACCCGATAACGCCGATGTTAAAACCGCAGGCAGGAAACAGCGTTCTTCCGATGACACTACTTCATCTGAAATAGAAGAATCGACAACCGCTAGTGGCATTTCTGCAGGAAGTGAAACTTCAGATAAAAAATCTGAAGACTCGTCATCAGACACACTTCAAGGTCAGAAAGGACCAACAGGGGCAAAGAGGCAAACCCGCAGTTATGTCGCCGACGACCGCATTGTGAATGAAGAAGGTGATGATGATGACATGTCAGTTGCTGAAACAATTATCTTTAGACCACTCTTCAGCTACAGGCAGGACAGCGCTTCAAGACGGAGGTCCTTCAGGGACGTGTCCGGAATCCAACCTGAATACGACTATTATTAAGCACAAGCAAAACCCTAGGGACATGTTACGCTCAATAATATCAACAAAACATTATTTTTGTATTTAATGGATTTTATACTGTTATTTATTTTTGTACGACCATTTATTTTGTACCATTAGGTTGAGAAATAAAGTTACATTTTGTAGAAAATATATCCGCATTCTTTATGGTAAATCACTTCACTTCACAATTTTACTTAAATCCAATCAAAATAAAATAAAGGTCGTCATATTGGCAAATGTGAAGTAAGGTACTTAATCTGATACGAAGTTGCATAATTCAAATAAAACTGCAACGGCCTCGCTGGGCACGATGTTGTATCGACAAAGAAGTTTGCGGTGTTGATGATCGTACATTTCACCACCCAGCTTACACCTCACATTGATATCACGTATATGTGTGTATTGTTTGCAGTACTTCAGTTTACAGATCCATTACCCTTACTCAACCCATAGAAATTCCCTTGTATCATTACATATTTCTATTCGTATCCGTATATATTTATCAATTTTCTGTACATTGCATAAATATAGTAAAAATTAATATTATTTTAAACTACAAATTAAAGGTGCATTTAAGTGTTGATCATTGGGACAGAGAGAAGGAGAATAACTGTGGGGCACCAAATTACGAATAAATAAGAGAGGCAATGAACGTGGGAAAATTCTGTACACGTGTGTGTGTGTGTGTGTGTGTATATATATATATATACTTATATACTGTTACCGTCATCACAGCCTTGTTTTTGTCACAATTATGATCATATACTGCGTTTCGGTCTCAAGTGGCCACAGTCAGAAACATCTCTTGGTACTAAAAGCTCTTGTGACTCAGTTGCAATTTACAGATGTTGGATGTAGAGTAATAATGCATCAGATGATGGTTTCATGAGACCGAAACAATAGTGCGTGCATGATAATAATTGTAATAAAATGAAGACTGTAGTAACTGTAATGCCACGCGCGCGTGTGTTGTTACTCATGACACACCATGACGCAATCCTTGAAATTTGTGGAAAAATATTATAGAACATAAAGTGTGGGCATACATTAGAGTTGTACGGACATGCTCAAAGGACGATCTGTGGTTGTGGTTACCTGGGAGGAACGAACCTGGAAATGTCTAAGGTCGCAGTAATGATGCGAACGTCTTTCGTCTGGCAGAATAACTAGGATTATGTGACAATGGCAAATGTCTGCATAAAACTAAGTAAGTAGTAAGCAATATTTTCCCTTACAGTAACAACAGAAGGCGCATTAAACTCTGTCTGATACTGTGTCAGATTTAGTTGAACATATTACAGTAAATAAAAAATCAACTGATTTTGCAAGCTTGTAAATGTTTATATTAATGTACCTAAGAGCGAACTATGTCAGGAATTAAATACGTTTTTAAAAATAAAACTTTACTCTAGCGTTTGATTTTGTCCAACAATTAAGAAAATGTGATAAAATTAAATGAAATTTTAAGTTGTTACGGCTGTGGCAATAATGATGTTGTTGTTCTTGGTT